GTGGTTAGCGTCTGTTAGGGCCCCATATATGGAAAAATAGGGAACAACCAAACTGGGATCAAAAAGCAAAGTATAAAAATACATTTTTGTAGTAAAAAAGAAATACCAGCAATAGATTTTTAAAAAATAAATAATAAATAAATTACCAGCAACAGATTTTCATAAAAGAAAAAAATTACCAGTAATAGATTTTTGTAAAAAGAAAAAATTAGTCAAGCTCCCAAGAAAATTAAATTTTGGCATTAAATAGCCCTTAAGGAGTTGATATACTGTTAAACAAACAAAACAAACAACAGTATTCTCAACATCCTTCTGTAGAACAACATCTCTGTAACTTCAGGTCCCCTCTTCATCTGTGAGAAAATTTTCCTGCATTTTCTGCTCTCTAGGAAGTTTGTAATTACATAGCTGTTGAGAACTTTTTTCTTTGTTTTACTGAAATTTCCTATTTCTCAGTACTTTGTTTAGCTTTTGGAAAGCATCTTTTGCTACTCCAATTTGCTTTTGGATTTGTGTTGCATTTTCCATTGCCTGTTATAAAACTTCCCAGATGGATAAATTTCTGTATTTGCTTATACTTAATTCTGATATCTCCAATTCCTAGTTCATATCTTGAGCTGTCCCTCCATACAGGATGACCTCTTACAATTGATAGTTTGTCCTTTCTTCCTGCTTTCCTTTAACACCTTGTCTGGGAGTTTGTGCAGTTTTCTTTCTTTCTCAATACTGTGTTATCTGCATCTCTTGTAAGACTTCTAGTTCTCTAACAGCATAAGTCACAGGCTGAGTGAACTAGTATCAAGATCAAGAAAAAATCATTATTCATAGCTTCCTCTTATTATTTCAGAGATACTTTGAATGTTTGAGTAACAGAACAGATTGCTTTGTCACCTGAAACTACCTCTGTCAAAATTATCTTCTTGTATGCACCATGTTTCTTCAAGACAATGGTGATCATGGCTCCTCTCAATTACCTGTCTTTTGTAACTCTTAAAAAAAATTTCTCTTTTTGTTATCTCTCCTAAACCTTGCTCTGCCATCAATTTACACACATTCACTAGATATGCTATGAGCCATTTTCCTTTTTTCTTTCTTGCCTTCAGTATATCTTGTGAGTATCAAAATTTCCAAGCCCTCTTTCCACATTATGTACCCTATAAATTTCAAGTATCTCTTCCTAATATTATGTATTAATATCCTTTTATTTTTCATTTTCTCTAAAAATTTCTCATTGCTCATATGTTCATTCCCTCATATTCTTAGCATCCTTCTAGAGAACCATATTTCTGTTGCTTCTAGTCTCTTCTTTGTCTGGAAGGATATTTGTCCAGCATTCACTTCCATATAAGAAAGACTGATATTTCATAATAGTTCAGTACTCTTTGCTTTGTTTCTAATGTAGTTTTCCTATTTCTTAATACGTTGCTTAGCTTTTGGAAGGCAACCTTCATTATCCCAGTGCACTTTCAGATTTCAGTGTTACACTTTCTGTCCTCTGTTAAAACACTTACCAGATATTTAAATGGTTGTTTCTCCAACTTGTAATTTGCATTTTGGGCTTCGAAAATTCTTACAGTCTAAAAATATTATCTGGTTTTAAATAACCTGCAGAAAGTTGATAAGCCATAAACTGCAACTAGGCCTTAGTTACAAGAGAGAGCATGTTATCTAACATGATCAAGAGTCTGAACGAGGTTAGCATGCTCAAATCCTCAATCATGATGACCTGTGACTTCATTCTAACACAACCACTGTAATTAAAGTAATACTTTTTTCTTTTTAAAAATTCTTTAGTGTGTTTGTTTGGTTTTCTCCTACAATATTATTGACAACTCTGTATTTTACTAGTATATTTTCTCCTGTTAGTAGTTAGTGTATTCTCAGGTAGGTCGGTCCTTTTCTGCTTGAAAAACTGGAACAATACAGACTTGTTACTCTCTACTTGTATTGTACTTAAGTTTTCTTAGTATCATATTGGATATCTCCCATATTTCTCACCCTAATAAGGGTTGTGTTACATTGGGAGAAATAGAATCATCATGATAATTTCTTTTACTTTGTTCTCAAGGAGAAAAGTTGAGCAGTGGAGCTTTCTTGAAGATTCTGTTGAATTAAAACTACTTTAGATCTAAACCTTTCAATTAACCAAATTCACATTTTTTTTTTAATCATTTCATATCAAGTAAGGTAATAAAGCCACTCTGAGTATAAAAGAATCTGAGAAAAGACATTCGGGAGAGAGGCAAATATGTATTCAGTTTAATATAGAACAACTTCATAACCAAATCCGTATCCGGGCATACCAGTGTATTAATGTCTAAGAATTTACATTTTTGTATATAAATGTAAATGGTACAGCCACTCGTATCTGAGGATACCAGTCTACAAGAGTGGCTAGCTAATCCTCATTGCAGAAGACTGCTCAGGCAAATTTCTGTTTGTTCAACACCCACAGAGCCCAGCTGTAGTTTATACTGCAACTATGCTGAGGGGGCCTTAGTTACAAGAGAGAGCATGTTATCTAACATGATCAAGAGTCTGAACAAGGTTAGCATGCTCAAACCTCAGTCATAATGACTTGTGACTTCATGCTAACACAACCACTGATGGCTCTCAAGTTTCTATCTAGTTTCACTTACAGGGCTTAGGTCAATCCATGGTATGGTTTTCAGGCACTTTATTTTTTTATATATATATATATATATATATATATATATATATATATATATATATATATTCAGTATGCCTCATTTGTTCTTTGCTCTAAGTATTTATGAATTATTCATCAACCTGACTCTTTCTTCGTTATTTTGGGTAATTAGACCAAGTGATTAAAATTAAAATGATTTCTAAATTAGTTATATATTTCTCATTCCAACAGATTTCATCCAGTTTTACTCATACTAGATGAATTGACCATGTTTTATATATACATATTTCTGAGAGAGATTAAGAATGCACACACACACACAGAGGACTAAAATACATTGAGCATAAATTATAAAAGGATAACCCTGAAATTATTATGGCTTGAATGTAAAAAAAAAATCATGCACACCTGTCTTCCTCTCTCTCTACCTTATATATATATATATATATATATATATATATATATATATATATATATATATATATATAAGCAGTGTATTTTCATTCAAGCATTTTTGGTTAAATAATTTAGATGTATTATGTTTATTTATTTTATTTTTAATCCTTTCAAGTCCACAAATTAATTTCTTGGTAGCTGTAGAAAATTGATCAAGAAAAACTACAAAATTTTCTTTCAGATAATTTTTATTTTCCCAAATACTTTCAATCGCATCTGAGTCCATCTTCTGGGGTTGCATATCTATGGGAAGTGTTATGCATTAACACCGTAAATTCAAAATATTTTTTCACCGCTATGCAAGGGAGGTAACTTATGTGATTTTTTAATAGAGTTTTTTAATTGTAGTATTTTATTTACTATTTTTAAATAACACTTTGCTGCCACAAACATTTAATAACTTTCTTACTATACTTGCAAATCTTGTATATAAAGAGCTTTCAGAATTTTAAGTTTTTGCATATTATTATCTTGATGAAGCACTCATGTATTTTCAAATAATATCTGTCTATGTCAATGTAGACATGATTGTTCCTTTAAATGTTCTGAGATTGAACTATGATCATTGAAGTGAAAATAAGCCTTCTCATCATCGTTGTTGTTGTAAAACTAACATATGCATTAACATTTTTATCAGAGATGCAATCCCCAAAAGGACATTTAAATTAATATATGATGTTGGCATTTTGTAAGATGCTTGTTGATGGAGAAGAGTTACTGTGGAAAACTAGGTTGGTTGTATTAAATTTAGTATAGTATATAATTAATTTTATTTGTTTTACTTGTATCAGTGGTGGGTATATTGATGTTTATGAGTTTTTTAGAATTTTTCCCTTCAAATTATAGTTTGAATGCATTTGATTATGGTATAGTCGTTTGATATGTTTAGAGTTATTTGAAGATGCATTATGTTCATTTTTATTTATGTTAATTCCTGAACTTGAAAGGATTAATACTAATATATATATATATATATATATATATATATATATATATATATATATATATATTTAGTATTAATCCATTCAAGTGTATATATATAAAGTGGACATTGAGGTCAACACTAGTGCTGACAATCTGTTTCATGCTTAAACACAATCTTCAGGCCATGTGCACTGTGTTGTTCTGAAGATTCCATTTAAGCATGAAACAGACTGTCACTGCTCAATGTACACATTGATATTTATATACGCTTTATCCTTGATATTGAGCACTTTAACCCACAAATATAGCATACCTTAAAACTATATATATATATATATATATATATATATATATATATGTGTGTGTGTGTGTGTGAAAAAAGACAACAGGACAACTTATCTTAGCCGACATGTTTCATTCTGTGAGGGTCTTTATCAAGGCCAATATCACTCAGAGGACAAAACACATTACCTAAGATAACTTTTCCTTTTTTTTCTTTTTTTATACTTTCCTTTTACAGATATACTCTATCTGAAATTTTTACACACACACAAACATGTATATATTTGTAAATTTGTATGAATATGTATACATTAGAGTATATCTCTTATATACATAAACATATTTTTACAAATATGTTCAAAATCTATATTTTTTATATATTTCTTTTGATGTAATAATATATCTGTATATGTTTATGTACAAGAGTGTATATACTTGTGTGTGTGCCTGCTGTATATATATATATATTTACATAGATATAATTTGCTACATAGAGAAAGATAAGATATAGAGTAGGGATCAGTACAATAAACTTTAATATAATTCTAAATCTATCTATCTATCTATCTATCTATCTATTTAAGATAGATATCTATCTATCTATCTATCTATCTATTTAAGATAGATAGATAGATAGATAGGTGTGTGTAAGCATATATATAATATATATGAGGACAAATCAATAAATATGCAGCCTGCCATACATTTATTACTTGACTGTTCATGTGAAAATGTTGCATTAAGATATGCCTTTTTACTCAGATCAGCATGCTTATCTTAGTTGCCAAAATCACAACTTTTCTGTCATTGTATCTTCTGTCCTTCTTCAGTAATTTTCATGGAAATTCAAATTGGACCCTTAGTTCAGTCCATGTGTTTTCAGCACTTACAAACCTTGGGATTGAGCTAAAATCTGCAAGAGAAACAGATATTTTTCTTCAGTCACTTATGCACCATGTGTGATACACACTTAAGCAATAATGTATCTTTCAATACATGACTGACAAAGCAGATTTTTTCTTGCAGTAGGTTGCCATTTCTTTCTGCAGTAGACCAGTTGCCATCCAAGGCTATAGGACCCGGTCTAGCTAGAGGGAGAAGAAGAGGATTCATACCTTTCCCAAGGGTATTAGCACGTAAGTGAATGTAATGGATTTAACTGGAATTCAAACTCAGCTCTCTGATTCCTCGGTTCAAGCTGCTTTTACTAATGTTTTAATGTAATAGGCCTTGTCACATAAAAGTCACATATGCTGGTTCCATGGAAGAAACAGACAAGCAACTATAATGTGGCTAAGACTGGTATCAACTGATGTATTTCTCCCCTAAGCATGGAAAGAGGAATGAAAAAAAATCTATCTTGTGGATTGAATAAAGGTATTGGTCCAAAATTCTCAGAAATTTACTGAGTATGAAAACAGAAACCTGATGAAGGCTAGAGAGTAGGCTGGACAAAATGGTTCAAATATAACAGCCATGATGAGCCTGATGTTCTAAAAAGTGTGGCATCTAATAATAATAAATCTTCATTTGTAAATTTCCAGAATAAAGTGAGAAGTTTTTATTGGTGTAAGGAAGATTCACCAATGGATGAAGAGCAGTGACAAGGAAGAAGATTATATTGAAAATTATGTATGGTGCAAAAATCAATAATTCTTCACAGTTTGTGATATAACTGCATACATACATACAAACATATACATAAATATATATATGTGTGTGTGTGTGTGTGCGTGTGTATGTATGTGTGGGAGGGCATATATATGTATGTATATATGTATATGTGGGAGGCCATATATATGTATGTATGTATATGTAAATGGACTTATATATATGTATATACTTCTGTGTGTGTATATATATATATATATGATTCATTTAAATTGATATATATATCTACAGATAGTCATGTAGTCCTGTGTGTATATGCATATATATATATATATATATATATATATATATATATATATATATATATATTTTTAACAATAAATTTATTAAAAATATAAAATTTCAGACACACTGGGTTGTATATTAAAATTTTTTTGTTTTACTATTTCACGTAAGTTCCTCAACTAGTTTCGGACAGCATGGCCATCATCAGGAGAAAAAAATCCATGCTTAGTATATATATATATATATATATATATATACACACATACATACAAACACACACACACACACACAAACACACACATATATATATATATATATATATATATATAGAGAGAGAGAGAGAGAGTGAGAGAGAAAGCATTATGTGTGTGAATTTTGAATTCTTCTTCTTGTGTAATTATATTTACATATGTATGTCGTTGATTGTAATTTTAATACCTTTCTTTTGTACCTGCAAATGAATGTCTATTTCTCCCTGTATATATGTATGTATGTGTATATATATATATATATATATATATATATATATATATATATATATATATATATATATATATATATATATGATTTATAAACTATACTATATAAATATTCTGATCCGTATATACGTATATATGCATACACATTATATCTATCTATCTACATATATATATATATGTGTGTGTGTTTGTATATGTGTGTTTGCAAAAGAGTGTGTTTACAAAAGAATACAAATATGTTTATATATACATATATACCACCATAGCACATTGATACATACACACATGCTACATGAATGTGTGTGTGTGTGTGTGTGTGTGTGTGCATACATTTCCTTGGTTCTCAACTTGTTTGTTGGTTTTATTTCCATTTCTTTTTTTATACATTTTCTGTTTAATCTCTCTATTTTCTTTGACATCATGCAAAATGAATCCTGTGAATTTGCTTGTTTTTTTCGTTTTTTATTTTTTTCATTTTCCTTTTCTCTTTCATTTACTCAAAATTTACTCTCTCTTTTTCTGAAATTCTTTCTGTATTTTCCCTTCCATGTTAGAAGTTCCCTTTCATTGTAACTTCATCCTCATCTTCTTTGGTGTGTTTTATTCTTTTCTGATCTTTCTTCCAGTCTTTTTTTTTTTTTTTTTTTTTTTTTTTTTTTTTTGCTGATTTCTATCACTTCCCAAATTCCTCTTCTTTTATTTACTTTAACTTCTTCCTTCTTATTTTTTCATTCACTGTGTCGTTCTTGTGTATTCATTTTTTATTCTCTTTTTTCTAGAAATTATTTTTTTCTCTTCTTTTTTGTTTTTAATATCTTTTAACCTTTTCTCTTTTTCATACTTAATATTTGTCTTATTTTTTTCTTCTTTTTCATGCTTTCTTAAATGATACATTTTTTCCTCTTTTTTCTTTTCTAATCAGTCTTTATTCCTTCTTTTCTTGTCTCCCTCACACTCTCACAGTTTCATTCATATATAAATTTCACTGATCAATTCCAACCCATCACTAACTCTCATTCACTACTTTCACTTTCATTTTTTACCATTTTTCCATCACATTCATTTCTTTTCTTTCTTTTACTTTTACTTTCTCTTTCAATCCATATCTTTTTCTTTTCTTTACTATCCCTCTGTCTTTTCTTTCTTCTGAGCTGTACAAAATTCCATGCTCGGTGCATTTTTACCAGGACGTATGTCTGCCTATCTTTTTGCTCCATCAGTGTGTGTAAGTCTGTTGGTCCAAAAGCCGGTTGCTATTCATTTATAAGTTCCCAAGTGACAAGATACAGCTAATTTGGTGCCAGCAACTTAAATGATGTAAGCTTTTGGTCAGTGTCTCCACTTAGTGATCGTTGCAAGAAAGACATTTAGATCAGAAAAAAAAAAAAAAAAATTGGAAATGAAAGGACAAAGATAACAAAACAGAGAAAAAGAAAAGGAAAAGAACTAATTTTGAAAGATAAAAATTTATAGAAGATAAAAAGGCTGAAGGAAAGCAAAGAAAATTTAGATATAAATATACTGCCTGTTGTTTATCTACCGATGGTCAAGTTGGCTGAGTAGATTATTTGTATTGCAGAGTGTTCAATCCTCAGTGTATGCTTATAATATTTCACCTTGTGTATCATACACAGTTTGGTGGGTAACAGAAATGAAATATAGCTAGGAAATAAGAGTTTATATATATATATATATATATATATATATATATATATCCTCACTGGGGATTGAACTCACTACAATAGGAATAATGTGCACAGCCAGCTTGACCATCAAAACAAAAGCTAGACATTCTTTGAAGCAGGGTAGCTGTAATGATCTTGACCGAGCTGCCTTCCCAATATCTGACAAAATAATCAAACAAAACTTTTTGTTAAATCTCTTCTTGGACTAACAGTTTTTCTACACCCACTCATATATATATATATATATATATATATATATAGATAGATAGATAGATAGATAGATAGATAGATAGATATGACAAGAGTAATTGGGTATTATAGGTAGAGGTAAGTAAATCAGAAAGGTAATAAAGAAAATAGTAAGGTGTAATACCAACAGCACATGCTATATCTATCTATCTATCTATCTATCTATATATATATATATATATATATATATATATATAAAAGAGATAAGTGATCAAAATAGTTAGATGTGATAAGGAGATTAACTGGTTAGTTACTTTATGAAGAAGGAACACAGAAAGAAAAATGACAAAATTATTTTAAATAAAAAAAGCAGAAAAGCCAAAAAAAAAAAAATGGATAAATAGAAGAGAAAAAATTCCAGTAAGTAGAACTAATGGCTGGAAAATGAAAAAAGTGAAAAAGAATAAGCTTGCGAAGAAGCGTGCCAGCAATATGAGAGAAAGCTGGCTTTGCCGCCACTATTACTTCTGCCACTACTACTACTACTACTGCTGCTGCTGCTGCTTCTGCTCATGCTTTCTTCATCATCATCTGTGGAGTCATTTTCATCATCTCGCCAAGTATCAGCATTATTAAAACCAGCAGTAGCAACAGCGTGCTCGTGCTCGGTAGTTACTCTTACTGCTTTCTCTATTCTTTGATTCCATCGAATGTCGTACTCCAAAGTTATCGTTGCTGCAGACATCATTGTAGTCTTTTTTTTTTCTTGTCATCATCATTATTACTGGCATCAGTACTGACATCTTCGACCCCCACAAACCAACACACCCGGTATTTACCAACTGTCCTTTACTGTTGCTTCTCTCTCTTACTCTTTTTCTCTTCCTTTCTCTCTATCTGTCTTTCTACCTATCTCTCTTACCCCCTCCTCCCCTGCTGCTGCCATCACTGCTGTGGTAGTAGTAGTCACCATTGTGGTGTAGGCACACCAACACCAATTTCTTCTCTCAGCAATGTGGAAGGGTCGGCGGATTGGGTACTATATCCTTACAATATCTCTTGCCTTTCACAAGTGGAGAATTATGACAAACCATATTACTGTATAAACTGGTAAGTAAAAAGTGCCTAGATACGTTTCACAGTGTTTTTGGAACCTTCTTTGTTGATACCAAAACTTTTTTTTCTTCTTCTTCTTCTTTCTCTTTCATCGG